TAAAGTCCAACTACTAATAAATTGTAACTATAAAAAATTTCGGAATTAAAAATGTCTTTTGATTAATTCTTTTGAGCAAACATGTCTGTAGCACTTTTTATAAGTTTTGAAAACTGTAGGAAGCATTTCAAAGGAAGCCATTGAAGCATGCGTAATTGATGTGCGAATCACGTGGTATCCAATTACAGGTATCCAATTACAAAAAGTTCAAATTGGATACCTGTAATTGGACACCCAGGTGATTGCGTGCCAGTTACATGACAAATAGGCATGCAGAGAACCAATCATGATCAAGGATTTTGTTATAGATATTATTATTTTTATTTTTATCATTAATAAATTATTATTATTATTGTTATTGTTATTATTATTATTATTATGATCATCATCATCATTAGAAAGAAAGATAATCTAACATTCACCAAGCAATCCACACAGCCAAACAACCAACAAACAACCAAGCACAAAATCAACTAGAAATGAACTTTTACATGACAGTGAAATCTGATCTATCCTTATGATCAGGTGGTTTTGTTTGAGGCCAGTCACACTGGATGTAACGTCTGGTTAGTTTTGTGTCGTAGTTCACACAAAATAATCATTACAACATTAGTTTATCCTGCTGAGTCACTCATGGAAGAACTGGTCTTCCTGAAAATAACTTATAAATTGAAGGGGTGTAAGGAATAAAGCCCTAAGTGACTTTTGGAAAACTTTGAGGTAACCAGCATTGAAATACCTCCCAGCCATGGTTGCAGTTTACTCTTGTCTTCACTACTGTCTAAAAAGAACTTGTAATAATAATTTATTACTAGTTCTTTTTAGGCAAGGCCAGAGTAAACTATGAAAATTGCTGGTAGGTATTTCGATCCTGCTTGCTTCAACATTTTCCACAAGTCACTTCGGGGCTTTATTCCATGCACCCCTTCAGTTAATGTTTTAATAGTTAGAAAAAAACATCTGTCATATTCGAGCTAATCCTGCATTCTTTCCCGACCAATAATTAGTTTTTTTAGGAGAAGGGTGGTTTTAAGTTCACATAGTTCCAACAGTTTCATGTTACCTTAACATCTAATATGTAGTCCTTGCACTGTTTCCAGTCTCCCTTCTTCATGGCTTTGGATGCAACCACTACATGTTCACGCATGCTCTCTGGAGGACCTGGAATTAATTCAGAAGTATATCAGTCAGTGACCTGTTAAATACCATGAAAATAGACTGCAAAACACCCAACAACTTACCAACATGAACGAGAAAACAAATATTAAGAAGTGTCTTTTTCATAATCAAACACAAAAGACCATGTTTGACCACATTTCCAAACACTGAGAAGAGAGTGGAAAATACGATGCGTAGTGGAGTATTTTTGACAAACTTCAAGGTGTTTAAAAATTTGGTCTAATACTGTCTTAAGTGTTTGATATAATCTTCTCAATCAAAACTAAAAAAGAAATGAAATCGTAAAAATCTATGCTAATAAAAATCAGATATCCAAACACCATCACGGTCATGATTTCCTTTATTTAAACTTGATGAATTATCTCTATTTTAAAACTCATTAAAACGAGTCTGAGAATTAATTTTCAACAAACATAAGCATGACATGTTCTCCAAAATAAAACAAGACTTCAGTTTATTTATTAGATTGGTCATACGGTGATGTCAAGGGAAAACACT